CAAATGTTTCATGTTCTTTGCAGCCTTTTTTGGTCTGATTGGAGGTTTTAAACTCAAATGTGATTTCCTACTTCTCTGATCCCACCTGCTTCCCTCATGCCGTAATTATAAGGCACATGTCAATATTTGAGGGGAATAAATTGCTGATGACTCCAGCTTCTGTTTAGTTTTATGAGTCATCGTGGGGTCATATGAGCTCAGCAACTGCGTTAGTGACTTGTGATTCCTGGTGGGAGCACAGCCAGCACCAACGTGCTGTTGGGAGTAGGATCCCTTCCCTCTGAATATTCATTTCTGATGTTTGCTGGTTGCTTCCCAATTGCAGAGCCCAGACGCTGGCTCTGAGCCATTTTATCCTCTTTTCCTATAGTAGGAAGTTCTGCACGTCTACATGTCCCCAGGTCTGTCAGTGCAAGCCATAGGAGGGACTTGTGGTTTAGTCCGTGGTTTTCCATAGCTTCTTCCATGCTTGGGGAAGGCTGAGCAAGACCATCAGTGCCACCACCATCAAAGGTGTCACATCTCTGCTGCCCCGCCAAGAGTCACCCCCCTTGAAATCTGTGTCCCCCCCATTGGAAACCCACGTGCACCCCACTTGGAAACCAGTGGCAGCCTTGCTTGACAGAGCTGGTCATGGCCACGGAGCCCCCACCTGGGCTTTTTCCAGAGCTTCTATCAAGTCACAGGGCAAAATGAGACTAAAGAGGGGCAAAAGTGGTGGTGGAAATGTTTCCTCGTTTGTCCAAGTGCCTTTAACTCTTTATTACTTGCCAAGTAGTGGCAAGAGTGGGAAGTTAATGGGATATTGTATATTTTTGTGTCGGGAGAGCACAGGCATTGTTCACATTGCTCCGTTTGGGTGGAAAGCAGTGAGTGAGAGGGGCTTTGGACAAGGGATGTAGGGACAGGACAAGGGGAATGGCTTGAACCTGCCAGAGGGGAGACTGAGATGAGCTCTGAGGCAGAAGCTCTTCCCTGGGAGGGTGCTGAGGCGCTGGCACAGGGTGCCCAGAGGAGCTGTGGCTGCCCCATCCCTGGCAGTGTTCAAGGCCAGGTTGGACACAGGGGCTTGGAGCAACCTGCTCTAGTGGAAGGTGTCCCTGCCCGGGGCAGGGGTTGGAGCTGGAGGAGCTTTGAGGTCCCTTCAACCCAGACCAGGCTGGGATTGTGTGATTCTATGAATTGCGTTATATTTTAGTACAAGCTCAAACACAGCGTGTACTTGTGTTTCTTGGAGACTCAACATGATACGACTCTGGTGAGCTGCTGAAGACATTTGTTCACTGCTCTAAACCAGCTTTCCCTTCCTCTCTTCCATCTTTTATTTTCTCTCAGGAGAGCACAATGCGCTAAATGATCAAACCGGGTTAGATTTAGCTGCAGACATTCCCCTTGGAGCTGTAGCGTGTGGCTGTTTCTCATCCCTCTGCCCTCATTCGGGTGGGAAAAGGAGTTGATTACATGGAAAATATTACATTATTTCTCTTTTCTCTCCTTGCAGGTGTTTACAAAATATGGAAAATGCTACATGTTTAACTCAGGAGAAGAAGGACGACCTCTTCTTACCACAGTTAAGGGTGGGACAGGCAATGGACTGGAAATCATGCTAGACATACAGCAGGATGAATATTTGCCGATATGGGGAGAAACAGGTAAGACCTTCTTTTTCCTCCTGAAGATATGCAGGTACTGCTGATTTTTGCTGAAAGACCATCCCATCCCATCCCATCCCATCCTACCCCATCCCATTCAGTCCCATCTGATCCCATCCCATCCTTCCCAGCCAATGTCTAAAACAACTCTTGAAAGCCAGAGGAGCTCAGGCTGTATAGGTATCAGCTGCTTTTTGGTGTCTGTAGCTGCCAGTTGGGACCAGCATTTCTATTGTTCAGCTCATCAGTGAGTGCTGGGCTTGGGTGTCTCGGCATCAAAGTTTGGGAGTGTCATCACCTCTCCTGGGACCAGGGTGGCTGCTTATGTGTGACAGGAGGTGAAGTGTCTCTTTCAGATGCTCCAGCATGTCCTTCTTCCTTAGAAAGGGGTTTTTTTGGAGGCCTCATTCAAGGTGGACCTGTTTGTGTTTTCCTCCTCCTTGAAATTCAGGGACATTTGTTGCCCTAACTGTTGTCTTTGTGTGGGTTGCTGCCTGGGTGGACCAAGGACTTGGCTCATTGCACTTGGAGCATGTGGGGTGGACAGCATCTGTCCCGTAATGAACCTAACCAGGTTGAGCATCTTCTGAAGAGCCAGTGTGCTGCAATGCAGCCCTCTCTAGTCCTGGCACAGAGAAGGGCAGAAGGTGCTCATCAGAAAGGCTGGGGCAGTCTCGCAGGTCTCGTGGGCTGGGATGGCAGCGCTTGGAGTGAACACGGGAACGCTGCCTCCTGCAAGGGCAGCTCAGCAGCTCCCATCACCTGAGCCCTAGATGATGGTGGACGTTGTTGGCACTGCTGGTGCCAGTTCCTTTAATGAACCCTGCTGCCAAAGCAGTGGGTAGGAGGCTGGGCTCTGCAAGGAGGGTGGCATGGGCAGGGGCCAGCGTGGGGAGTGATATGTGCCACCAAAGCCACCCATTGAGAGGAAGCCACATCAGTTTTGCTGATGTGGCTGGAGTTTTCATGGAGCCACGTTGACACTTGAAAGAAAACATCCCAAAAGGGCTGGAAAAGTTGCCAGCCACTGCGTTCCTCTGGCACTTGCAGGCAGAACGTTGTGGTGGGAGGTTGTTTGTTTATTCTGGGGTGTCAGACAAGGGAGAGGAGCAATTACCCCTTATGTCATCATTGCACCACCATCGTGTGCGAACGAGTCTCTTCAAGCGCCTCTCAAACTTCTCAGCAGTGAAGAGGGGAGTTGGTTGTGTTCATTCAGAACGTACAATGTGTTTGTGTGCTGGTTGATTCTTGCAATTTCAACAGATTCCCAGGGTCCCATCAATCATTTAGAATTGCACAGGCTTTTACAGCAAGGGCTTTGCCTTCCAGTGTTTAGCTCGTACTCAGAGTCAGCCTCATGTGGCCCGGGGGAGGGGGAGGTGACAGTGATTTGGAATAATCATTTCTGACTCGTTGCATTTGTTTGAAGTCTTGTCCTTTTAGAGGCAAACCAGGTTCCCGGTACCGAGTGGGAAGATGAAGTGCACTTTCTACCTCTGATGCTTTATCGCTTACAAGCTGCCTTGGGGGAGCTCGTGGGGGCAGCAGAACCACCACATTGATGGCTTGGGGATGTAGCAGGCTTGGACAGCCACACCACGAGCTCTCTGTGTTCAACCTTGTTGGGTTTGGGGCCCCCCTGAGGTTCCCCATGGAGACACAGACCTTGTGTCACACTTCAGGCTTGGTTTTTTGGAGCTCTCTTTTGTGATTCTTCACTATGGGGGTCCTGAGGTGCTGGCACAGGGTGCCCAGAGAAGCTGCCCCATCCCTGGCAGTGTTCAAGGCCAGGTTGGACACAGGGGCTTGGAGCAACCTGCTCTAGTGGAAGGTGTCCTTGCCCGTGGCAGGGGTTGGAGCTGGAGGAGCTTTAAGGTCCCTTCAACACCAGATTTGGTGAATCTTTAGGAGGAACCCATCCAGGAATGTGCTGCCTTTAGAGCTGTGCTTTTCTGTCACTGCCATTCTGGGATGGTCTCAGCTGGGTGAACCAGCTTCTCCTTATATAGGAGGCAAAAAAGATGTAGCGAAGAATGAAGCAAATGGAGAACTAATGTGGGGGGTTAAAAGGAGAGGGAGAAGGATCAACCAGGTCTTATTCTTGCTGTCTGGCAGGAGAGCCTGTGGCAATGGGGAGGACGTTTCCAGTCTAGTACCTCTGCGTCTGTGAGCATCACTGTCATCCAGAGCTTAGGTGGTATGGCAGCTTCTGCCCTCGTCACGTTCATCAGACAACTTTCAAGCCCTGCATGTGGCAAAGGTGCTTGAAAGCTGGCCATGTCTGAGGACGTGAAACCTGAGGGAGGAGGAAACAACCCCAAGTGCATTCGTTTTTCCAAAACCTTGTGGCTTTTAGGGTCTTTTAAGCTCCAGCTTGGTTTTTGACCCCATGTGGAAGGGAGAAATGTACCCGTTTGATTTTCAAGATGCCCCTGATGATGTCCTGCTCCACTATGGCCTCACCACTGCTAATCTCATGCTTATTTAGGTTAAATTTGTACTCAGCTAAAGATTGAGGCAGAGAGGGATTCTCATGCCTCTAGAACTGGGTTATGATGTTATGGGGCTAGTTGTTAGGGTCTCTATCTGACTGCGAAATGCTGTAGGATTCAAGGTGGAACTATATAAACAGGTCTCTTGATTTGGTTAAATGGTGTAGGAGAACCTCCTGGACCCGTTGCGAGCAAACTTGGCCATGTTCTTACGGGTGTAGGTAGAACTGGTGCTTGACTGTGAAGCTCCTAAAACATTAATCTTTGCCTTTCAACAAGGGACTCGTTCATCCTCCACGTTCTTACAGCACCTTGTACAAGCTGTCTTCAATCTTCATTGAGCTGCCTGGACACTACCAGGAGGAAAACATTAACTAGAGTGGTTCATAGTTGCTGTTCCCATGGAAACACTTAACTCGGCTTCGTAGGTAAGTGAGGGAGTTGATTATTTCCAAATATTTGTGCAAGAATGTAAATGTGTTTGGGATTAAGTCTCCTCAGCTGCTTCCACTGGGACCGCGCAGGTCTGGCTCCAGTGAAGAGCTCTATCAAGGACACACAGCTCTTAATAGTGAACTTCAGGCCTGGCTATGGAGAGGGATGGGGTGAGATCTTCGTGGTGCAGTGTCAAGCCACATGTAAGCATGGGGAGGTCCAGCCATGGGGATGCCTCCAGGATGGAAGGAGGTGAGTGTTTTCTTCTCAATGAGTTAGTATCTCCATCATAACCTGAACTATTCCATCCGCTCCTTATCTTTAGATATTTCTACAGACCGGTTTTGCTGCTCCTTTTCCCCAGTTGCTGCACCCAGCAACTGTTCTTTTAGTGGCCTCTTAGGCACTGATTTTCGTGTGGTTGAGTTACGTGACCTTCTTTTCTTCAGATCCAACTTCCGCAGCATCCCTCGGACGTGGCTACTCAAACCATTTCTTTTCCCAGCTGGTTGTCCCATGTTAATCTAAGTTTTCCCAGAACTATCTGGAGCTGCCCACACCGAGCTGCTGTCTCAGACATGGTGTTTGTACCCCCTTGGGGCTTCACAAATGCTGAGGTGGACCAACCTCCATCACCAGAGCGAGGTCTTCACGTGGAAAAATACACATTTCTCTGGCCCATCATGGTGGCCTTGGCTCATGCTTCCTGCAAGGGTCTGTCCCATAGAAAACAGCCTCCAGGTTCTAGTTCACTGCCTCTCCATCCCATCCATGGCCATGACATCTCATTGGGACCTTTCCTCCTGCACCCCAGGATGCTCAGACCCTCAGAGCAGTTCTGGTTCTGTTGGATACAGGGCTGAGTTGTAAGAGTTCCAGGCCCAAACGGTGGCATCTTACTTTGTGCTTAGTCCTGGGGCTGCTTCGCTTTTTGCTCCAGATCTGAAGATGCCACAAAACCATGTTCTCCTTCAGAGCCCTGCCTGAAAATAGTTGGAGTGTGGACTCAAAACCTCCTAATTTGCTGCCTCAGGATCTTGTCTTTCTTTATAAAACTGTCCTTAGCAATTCAAATAAGAAGCTAAGAAGGAAAATACTGGTTCGTAGCTTGGGATAGGGCTGCTCAGGAACCACTTGCCACCACGGCACATTGGCACATGCTTTGTAATCTGAACAGTGATTTAACTGTTACTGGCTCAGCAAACAAAATGAAGTACATCATTGTCATTTTGAAAAGGCCTTTTCTGAGTATCCATTAATATCTTAGGAAGATGAAGTATCTTCTCTAACAAGTTACTTGTAACAGAAAAATATACCTCTAGCTTGACTGTCTGCATATGCAAGCCCATTATTTGAACATGTTAAATTTATGTGCAGTCTAATTTTGGAATAGTGAGTGTACACAGACTGCTTCAGTCTTTACTTTCAAGTGCAAAGAAAAGGGTATTTTGACTATGTCTGGGTGTCACGGCGTCAGGCAGCTTTGCCATCTTTGGTGGTGCAAAAATATTGTGTCAGGACTGCCAAAATCGTGTGAAAAATATGATGGTCCAAAGAAAAAGAGATGGAAATCTGTCTTTGGAGGTTTGCACTGCTGGGATTTCTGTTTTCTAGCGTGGTACTTTAGCTGTGAGCACGCTACACATGAGAAGAGTTGAGGAAATAAGTTGTGGTTGAAGTCTTCGCATCACCTTTGGGCTTGAAAGAAAGCCTTAAATGTTCCAGGTGGGAATCATGATGCAAACAGCCCCCCAAAAATTAGCAATCCTGCAGGAAGTTAAATTGAAGATGGAAGAAACTGATAGCAGGGAAAACTCCTTCCGGGAACTGAGGGGGAAGCAGCAAACCACAGGCTCGGAGCAGCGTAGGTGGGAGCTGCAGCCAGTCATACATATGGCTCAGAGTCTCCCAAATTCCATGGTTACACATCTTTGTCTCACAGGATGAGGCACCAGCGAGTGGCAGGGCTGTGGAGGGGGTTTGTTTTATTGCACTTGATAGGGAAGGTGGCAGGAAAAAGAAACTCTAATTTATAGCGGCAGCTGTTTGATTGGAAAGGGAACCCACTTC